AAATCAGAGGAATATGGGAGATGATGTAGAACTTAGGAAACTGTAGTAAATTAATTTCGAAGTAGACCACCAAACTGTGAGCATGATTTCGGGTAGAAACTAAATAGATTTAGATCTGTCTTTTATAGAGATTCTGATTTTTACGGAAATGATTTGGGACATTATAGAGATTATTTGAAATGAAAATGTTCAAATTTCAGTGGTATTATATTTTCTCAAAATGAACGGTTTAAAAGGAAATAACGAAGCAAGTTAAAAATCTATTACAATTTACACGATACGTTGTTATTCTCATATTGACAAGACGAAGGGTTGATGTAGACACTATTAGCAATACCAGAAGCTGCGATCTATTATTTCATTCTTACAAGCCGCACTTTTCGAAGCTGCACGAAAGATACCTAAGTGTACAGCTATGTAGTTTCTCTCACAGGCAGTGTCGATTGAAACTGATTTCTCTTGCGAATTCTAAGCACACAGAGCATCGGGTATCGTCCATCGAGAGGCGGGATCAAATTCGCAGCACTGGCCACTGACAACTGATCGCTGACGCAGTTATCAAATCCCACATGCACGCGTGATTGATCTACGTGATCTTCGTTGAAATTCTGGTTGACCTACGCTAACGATAGGAATAAAAGAGAAAACAAAATTGACAAAAATCCACCGAACTGTAGGTTTCGCGTACACTTTTCTGCCTCCGTTCAAAATCGATTGGCAGTTTGAAAATAATGTTTGTATAGTATACACTGAACTGTGCAGGATGAACGTTTTCAATGGAACAAACTTTCAAATCGGATAAAGGTGAAATAATACTTGAGGCTGAACGCGGAATTGTACGGTGTATTGAATACTTTGAAAATATCGTTTCGTGTAACTCTAAATGGAAGCGATTTTGAAATTCATTCTCGTTTGGAATGCTCGAAAATATACGCAGCCGGTTTTTAAACAACAAATGTACATTGACTGTAAACTATTTATAAATGTGCGCGTAAGTATTAATATTACATCCTCACACGGAATTTGCAATTACTTTCGACGGTTTCACTTTGGACATTATGCGAGGATTTCAATCATTTGGAGAGCGCCATTTCTCATCCTTTCAGAGTAGTCCTAAAAGGATCAGGTGATAAATGTACCCCATAAATATATGTAACTTACTGATGATTTGCACTTATAGGACTGAACGAGTGCCTTGGTACTGCATTTAAAACGTTCGCCAAACTTCTTAACGACTCTACCGGTAAAATCGTGTTTATAAGGTTTATTTAGAAAACAAGCAACGTATTGTTTATAAACTACTATTACACACGTATCGTTCATTTTTATCTCAATTACATTTGACAGTTTGGAAACTGATAAATAATCTTCTCTTTTTGACACACAGTTGCAGGTGTTTTTTTTTGGTGCAGAAGCAACATGAATTATTTTAGTCTCAAAAGTTAAGATAGAAATGAAAACGGAACTTTATTTCTCATTGGATTTAAAATGGCAAGTTTTATGCTGAAATTAAAATTTCTCAAGACTACTGTTTTAAATCTCTCCATATTAAAAATTATTATTGTTCTTCATTTCCTATTTTTCTCTATAAAAGTGTAACTGCTTCTCTTGAAGCAATTTCATTGACAAAAAAAAAACAGAAAAAGTGGCATTCATAGAAAAATTGTTCTCTCGTCATATTCACCCTTTGAAAGCATTTAAATTTCGTATAAAAATGATCTCGTACCACCACAGGTACATACCTACTTATCTTAGCCAGGATATCGATCATGATCCACCTTAGAATCACATTTAAATGCCACCTAATCGGCTCCATAGTTCATAGAAGTCAATTGAACAAATAATTAAACACCAGAATAACAAATGAACCCAATACAGTAAAGTATAGATAAAATCGCTACAATAAACAGATGACTATTGGTTCTTTACCTGGTTGTCGTTCTCGTGTCTTGAATAGTTTCGTTGCTATTTCCTATCGGAGTAACGGAAGATAGATTTCATAGTAAAATCCTCTGTAGGATCATAAAGGGGGCGACGAAACGTTGACTAAATGACCGGCGTGAAACAACTCGCCGGCACCGATCACCTGTTTCACGGTCTGTCGCCGGACATCGCGGCGCGGAATAAAATTCGCGTCGGCGGTCGGCGCCAACCAACACCCCTGCAGAGGCGACGCTGAAAACGGGAATATCAAACGGTACCGTATTCTGGCGGCAGACACGAAGAATACGTGTGTCAAACTGGCACTGTATTCACATTCGGTTCCCATTTCGAATATTCGGCTTAGGCAAGTGCCGACCGCAGCCTCTGGGATAGTATCGGACGCAGCTTCCTCACCCTCGCTCCTCATTTTCCTCTCCTCCTCTCCGTTTCCCTGCTCCTCTTCCTCTTTTTTCTTCGTCTGTCTTGCTCGGTCCTCTTCTATTCTCTCTTTTCCTCTCTTTCTCTCTGCTTCTCTTTCCCGCTTTCTGGCTTCCTATCATCATGCCGCGCTTCTCTCTGCGCGTCCTTCATACATGCCGCAGTATCCGTACAGCATATGTAAAGCTCCTCCGCTACGTAGTTTATTTTCCGTATCGACCCCGCTTCCGGTAACGTTCTTCTCAGCAGTATGGATTACGCCTGACATCCGTTTCTTTCTCTTCTCTTCTCTTACGCCGACCTCGCGGCGATCGAAATTAACTTCGCTTCTGTTCTAAGTATTTTCAGGAAATTTTGAGGAATTAATGGTTACATCGTGGACTTTAAGTTTGATTAATTAGCGATGTTACAGTGTTAGAGAATTTTGAGAAATTAGGAAACTGCAGTTAAATACACAGTTTGTGTATAATATTAGGAACTTTAAAGTTTGTCGATCAATTTCTGTCGAAATATTTGCAGCAACAGTTTGTAATAAATTAATGATCTTTTTAGAGTATGCGCTCAGTGAAAAATGTTCTCCGTACACGTCATTTGAATTTAGATGGTAGTAAATAAATAATATGTACGTTATTTTATTTAGACACCTAATATTTGCTACTGGTGCAAAGAAAAATGATTTACATTCATTTGTTAAGAATTAAATTAAGGAAATATTTTCGTACAGTATCTAGAAATTCAGCAAAACGTCTACGAAAGGCAAAGAAAAGTTAGTTTCTTGTTTACAAGCAAGTAGAAAAGACGTTACCCGAAATATCCTTTCCATAATAGAAAATATTATGTTTCTAAATAAAATAATATGAATATTTTAGTTATTTACTACTTCTTCTTTCTCTTTTCCTTCTTACTCTTCGAAATCATGAAATGTAAGGGTCAGAAGGTATTAAAAGTATACTGCCCTCCTTAGCTAAAGTGTCTATCTACCAATTTTTCATTTCTCAGGATGCTTGAAAATATTTAGAGCTCCACACGTTTTTCGTCTATTACAAAAAGATGTCAGAATGTTCAATGTACTTTCTAGGGCTCTAAGAACAGTCTAATTTATTTGTCTGAACTATTTTAAAAATGGTTCGAAATTGTAAAACCTTATTATTCTCGGATGTTCAGAAATTTTAATTAGGAGAATTAATTAATTAAATAATTTCCCGGGAAATTTTTCTATTATCGCGATACCTGTGATATTTGTAATCTTTCTTTTTGGCTTCCCGTGCTTCACGCCGTATTCAACCCATAGCGAATGCTATGTGAAACACTGTGCCGGATGCTCTCAGGCTCGTCATCGGAAATTTTGTCTGAACGACGGCGTACACGCCAGTTCGTTTAGTATACCGGCGATAAACTCCCATTGGAGAGTTCCAGGACGCAATGTGTGAACGATTAACATTTCGGTCACCGTGTTGTAAAAAAAATAACAGCTTTACTGTCACACGAAAGATCAAGTTTCTCGTTTATCCCGCTATGTAAAATATTCACGTATGGCTAAAATCGATGTCTGCGATCTGATTTTATGGTAGGAAGTTTCAAATGAAGATAAATGATTGAAGATTTGCTTGGGAAAAAATAATGCACGATGGAACAGTGTAATAAACATTTATAGGTGCTATAATATTTTTTATGATAATCGCAATCAGCTATTTAATTTATAATTTATATAATCTAATAGCTGTAATCTATAAGCTATTTATAATAATCTGAAGAGAAATAGATTGGTAAAAATTGTATTTTGCGACTATAAACAACTTGCGATGGAAAGGTCGTAGAGCTTATGAGATATGATAAAATTTACATGCACGTTTATAAAGTTAATAGAAAAAGCAAACGTAATAATTATAATTTCTTTCTTCATTCAATCCACGTACTGTGTAATAATATACAGGGTGTTCCGTTTTAACAGAAAATATTCTTACAAAAGTTGTTCGGTATGTAGAAGACATTAGATGGTCTAAATGATTTTTGAAGTTAATTATTTTAAATAGAACTCTGTATTTTGTTATTCATAATATTGTAGCGTTTATTGTACGAATGCAACACTGTGTCACACGAATGGGTATATTGCAACAAGGTGAAAATGTGTGATTCTAGAGTGGCCGATCTTAATTCCATTAATAATGTCTAGTTTAAAAGGACAGTCTACTGTTTCTAAAATACGTAAAGGAGCAGGAATTTTTCCACTCTTCGATCCACATTTTCGCTGCTATATTCTCGACGTTGCAATGTTATTATTGGCGAAAAGACGGCAATTAAAAATGCCGTGAGCTATTACATCGAGGGCCGACGTAAAATTACGACAACGCTATTTCCAGGCAAATTAAATAAGAGGCCACTTAAACGGACGCGAAGTTGCCATTTCCAGTCTTAATTGACCATCGATTAGAGTTCGAGGACCATCTTTGATGTGGACCGGAACGCGAAGGGTTGAAGGATGAATGGCGAATGAATGGAAATTCTCTGATGCGGTGTCAATTAAGTTCGTCGGCTAAATTTAGGTCAACTTTGTGCATAAACATAGAACTACCCTATTTTAACGTATTCAAGACGGGACAACTAAAGTAGGTTTCTCCTCGTGCTTTCTTTTTTTCCAGGCGGAGGAGTTAAACACCATTGTCGGCAATGCTTTTCGTATGGCATACGTGGCGCAACTTCAGCGCCAACCGATCCTTCAAGATGTGATCTCACCGCAATCATCACCACCCTATCGCAAGGACAAACAAGAGAATCGGTCTTCGTGGGTACGTACGTTTTACTTCTCGCTTCGTGTATCGGTAGTCCCAACTTTCTTTACATTTTTATCCCGTTAACAACCGAAGAATCTCTTGAATTTCACGATCTGTTAACGTTAGGTTGGCCAATAAGTTGGTGCCTGTTTTTAACATTTAAATGACATAGCCAGGTTGGTGCAAGCGGTTTTCTACACTTGACTTTGATGTTTTGAGAATTTCTGCAATATATCGCGTTGTGCAACGAGGATTAGTATCGATTATACCCTTCATTTGGTCGACATCAATCTCCTTCGGTCGATCAGAGTGTGGTGCATCTTTAAGAGAAAAATCTCCAGTAGGAAATCTCGCTAACCATTTTTAGCATACGCGTTCTTTGATCGCATTCTACACCTCGCACAACTTTTCTCCCGCTTCTGTTACGTTTTTCCCTTTCTTGAAATAGAAAAGCATTATATGCCGAAAATGCTCCTTTCGCATGTCTTGCATCTGGTTAAAATTATGTCAAACTTACAAAACAACATAAATTTTCAAAATTTTTGGCTAAAATGTAAGGTTAACTGTTAGCTGTTAAGTCACGTTTTGTTTTTACGCTTCGTACTGCAGTTAGTTGCACTTCAAAGAACAGGAAGACAATTGTCGCTATAAACCGCACGAAATTATTGATATAAAAGAACCGATTTGATCTGTTTAAGACTGTATGTATGTTTTATATTTTTTTTTATTACAGATAATAGATTTACTATAAATTTACTATACTATAATATGTTTAATATATTTAGTGCTATAAAAAATTATCATACAATCTGCTGTAAAAAATCATTACTACTTGGAATATGTTTATTCTCAGTACAAAAGCTTTTACTTAATAAAACCGTTAGATCCTTTTGCCGGACACTGTACAAACTTCCAAACTGAATTATTTTCTTGGACCTTAACAATTTTCCAACGACCGTTAAGATTTAGTTCGCAATAAGTGCACGAGTGTGTAAGTACGTACATCAGATCAGCCTGATATTTCCTGTGAGATTTATAGACATCGAAATGTTTCATATCCGTTACTGTTAATTAGTTCTATCTAGAAAGCGGTCGGTGCATTTGCTATCTTTCGAGTAGGGTAATTACTTTTTCGAGCCGTTATACCAATGAGGAAAAGATTAAACGTCAATTGAACACTTCTCTCTGTATAAACCTTTTGATACGAAAAATTAACTAACAAAAGAAGTCCAGAGAAACCGAGAAAAGCGCGAAATAAACGAATTAAACAAACTAAAATAAAACTTAGGTCGCAAGTTAATCGTGTAGAACGTAATCGAATCACGTGCGTCATTTGTTATCGCGGAGACAAGACACGTGACAAGGAGAACGGTTTGTTTAAAGAATTACCCTTTTCCATCGATCGGTCTATTTTATTCGGTAGCAATTTTTCACGGTCGAGCGTTTCGAATAATTGCCTGCCACTGCATCGAACGGCCCGATTTATCAGACGTAAAAATTTCCCTAGAAGCAACCCAGGAGAGTAGGTATCTGCGAGACGGAAGTTAAGAAAATCGTACGAAGTTTCGACAAATACAGCCGCACCTTTCCTACAATTCCACCGAATTTCGAAGCGAACGTGAGAGAAATTTTTCACCGTAACACGTTCAAAAGCACGCGGAGGGAAAAAAGAAGAACGATATCTAACGCAGTCTCATGGGAGCATCAGTCTCCAGTAGAGGTGTCCCATTTACAGCCCGCGTTAATTATAAATTCGACCCGAGTCTCTCGGCTCCGTGGTGTTTCCAAGTAAACGGTCAGTTCATCGCGGCCTGTCCGCTGGTTCTCCCTACGCAATCGTCCTGGGAATGGTAAGATTCTATCGATAAACTATTCATCGGTTTTCAACTTTCATCACCTCCGCCTTCGCCGTTCAGGCCCTCCTTCCCCTCGATTTCTACGTCAAAAATTGGCAAGTACAACATCGAGGCTGCTACAACTCATTTGACATTTACTGTCTAACGGATCAAACATTCAGCAGAACTCCGTTTCTCCTCGTTTTATTTCTCGTTCGTTTTCTCAGGGACTGTTTTCTTACCTTACATTGCCAATTTTCTGGCCAGACTTGTTGTTTAAATTATTCGCTGTAGCAGTTGTCTGGCGAATGTGACGATTGTTAAATGTAAAGGGAAATTTATTTTGTAACGATAACATCTCGCTTCGAATTCGTTTAATTTTTTTACAAGGATAGTTTAGATATTAATTCTTGGAAGAAATTGAAGTATCGGTGTCTAAGAGATATACAAATTATTATTATTATTTACATTTTACAATTCTCATAAATTTCACAAAAAAATCATAAATTAACGTATTCAAATTCTTCTAATTTCTGTATACATACAGCAATGTAATTTCGATTCTGAAACAACAAAATTTAATGTAATCTACGATAAGTAAAAACTTGGAAGACGATCCTAATATTCTGTAAAATTTATAGAAATTACTGGTAAAACTGTTATGTTTCAGTCACTTTAATTAGTACTATCACTCTAATATTTATCACTGCGTCCAACCTGAATTTTTATAACATTTTGAATTTATCAACGATTAACTTTGCTACTTGCTTTTGTTACAGAACAAATCGCTGCCTGGCGACAGTTCAATCGCCAGCGCGGGTGGTGTTTGCAGGAATTCGTCTTCGAATTCGTGGTTAAAAAGTCGGACGTCGCCCACGTCCAGAACTGGAAGCGGTTCGTCTGCGGCGGACATGAACGTTCAGCTCGGCAGCGCTGGCTCGCCCACGCTGCGACTCGCCAGCGTGAAGGTGAGCTTACATATCCTCCTCCTCGGATATTTTCGCCCGATGGCTCTTTCAAGGAACGTACCGATGTCATTTCACGCCGTTATTCGCCACGATTCTCGAGATCAATTTAAATAAATACGCTGCCGCGCCACTTCGACGGCGCCCTATCGATCGAAATCTCGCGTGAACCGAGCGATGGACTCTTCGGATCTGGACTCGACCGTAGGAACTAGACGTGCAACCGTTTTTAGAATACACCGGACCCTCGATTTGCGTAGAATACGCGTTTCGTGCGCGAAAAAGAAAAAGAAATATTAGGTTTGTTGCATATGAAACGACCGATTTGAGAATTTCGTTGATAACCCCTTAATGTATGACTTCTTTTCTGACTGTGCGTCTAAGCGTCAGCCATTTTCTGTTTTAGTACTGTTCGGGTAACGAAAGCTAATTTGTTACAAATTAATTTTTTGAACCAATGTGACTACTTTTCTTACATCTTGACCAAAATCTCTGCTACGAGTCTGACTCGTTGTTATAAGTCAAAGAGTTAAGTGTATTACTAGATAGGACTTATTAACTTGTTGTAAGTTCGTCAATTTAAAACTCGAAGTTAGCCCAAATTCGTCTATTATTTTACTGTTAAATGGCAGATTGTGCACGAAAGTTAACCGTAGATCGAGATCAAATTCCACTCGTCACTTTTTAGTTGGACAAAAATAAATTGTTAAAATGTTTTTTTTTTTAAAGAAAAGCATAAATAATCTCAGATCATACTTCACTTAATAAATACGATATTTTTACTAAAACTACACACTTGAAAATTTTATTAACACCTCGATTATTTCATTTGCAACAACCTAATACTTAAGAGAAAAGCCAGCATAAGTTATGAAAATATTGATTTCATACATTTTCACGAACGAAGAAATAACGAAAGTTCAGAAAAAGCAAAATCTTATTCGTTTGAACAATTATTTGCAACAAATATGCAGTCGTAACTTTGTTCACGATTATCGATTGTAGCTTCGTTTAGTAACAGGAAGGTTAAAGGAACTCGAAACGATTTTTAACCGCCTTTAGTGTATTTTATCAGAATTTTCTTAAAACTTTGCAAGTTATAATCGAATATTAACTAATGCCCCAACTTGTGACACCTGCGGTACCGCACTATCGACCATCTCATTCTCACCTGTGTCAGATTTTCTGCTGAAAGAAAAAATTACGACATCGAGAAATGTATCCGGAAAAACTTAAATGATAAGTAGAAGACTCGTCAGCTACTAATGTTTCTAAGAAAAAATACAAATATTCTCAAAAAATTCTAAATTCCGTTCCATAATCTGAGTCGGTAATAACCCAACTTTACTGGTTGATGCGACTTAACACTTTGACGTCTTCTAGGCGACTCTCGCACACACTTTTCACTGTCTTTTAGAGTGTAATTACGATACATTTTTTAAGCAAAATACATTGAACACAAATCTTTTATGTTACGTTCTACAGTAAAAAAAAAAGAAAGAAATGAAGTTATGTCAGCGTGACTCCTGCCGAGAACCGAAAACCGCTCGGCCGGTAAAGTCACATATACGTACCAGCGGATGTCAAAGTGTTAAGATAAATAAATTAAAAAATCGCAAAAATATTAACTGACTTCTCTTTCTGTTCCAAAAAAAAAATACAGACACCAAACTCGATCCCAGGTTTACGGCCAACGCACAACTTCACGAACGTTCTTGGCCCTATAACGAACGAGGACGAGCCAAAAAGTATCTCTCAGCAGAGCACGCCGAGTAGCGATGAGAGCAACTCACCAACGGAACTAAACTCGTACAAGAGACTAACGGACAAGCCACCTCTGATAAAGCGGCTGGCGATGGGTTTGACAGGTGGTCGTGATGTTCTTGGACTGAACGGTGAGGATGACAGCTGCCCCCTCGTCAGTGGTAGCAGCACACCGACGAGCCCATCGAACAGGCCGCATTCTGGGGGTTATATAAACGAGGCGATCATCGACTCGGAGGGCACGAGGCCGACCTACAACAAGATACCCCCATCTGAGAGCCTGGACAATACTATCAACGCGTCTATTACCGCGAAAAACTTCAATATTGAAAACAACAGGTAGGTGACCTCGAGAAAAATATTCTGTTACTGTAGGCCAGCGAATTTTAACCCTTTCTATATAATTTTGTATAAATTAATTACTAAAATTACACATAAGAAAATGTATTATATTTTTTCATGTTTCATGTTATTCGTATCGGTGAATTTTAATTGATTAATTTCGAGTGGTATACCAATTAATAATTTAAGAAACGCATTACGCTTTTTATATTCTATGCTAAAATCAAAATTCAAAAATTTATTGGTATCCAATTCTTTGTTACTCTTTTTTAAACTCCGGTACTTCGGTGTTGGGCACAAGTTATTTCGAATAACGAATAAATTCGATGTAACAACATCTAATTAGTTTATTCGTTATTCATGAATAAAGTAAATTTGTTCGTTATTCGAAATAACTTTTGCCCAACACTGAAATTAAAATTATTGCCTGGTTTGAATAATTACTTCTCACAAAATTATTGGCTTCTTTAAATAAAGTAAACTTTCGTGAAATTCAATCACTTATACTTAACCGTTTCACGTCGTTATTGTATTCTCTTCTTTTATTCAAGTATGTTCATACATAGTTTAGCGCATTTAGGGATTTGAATAAAATGCTTATTATGTTAATTCAAGTACTGATTAATAATCATTCCATTTACAGGATAGGGCACAACTCTCCGAGCTCTGGCACAGAAACAGAATTTAAATCGAAGAGGAGATCTCAGATTAGTACTTCGAGCAGCTCAGTACCTGCTGATGGCAGTACTCATGGTTCGACACCGACACCACCACCCCTTCCTGAGAGAACGGATAGTCTGAATAATCGCAGTGAAGAAGCTGAATTACGCAAAGCTCCCTGGTTCCAAGCTGGGATACCAAGGTTCTTAACGTTTCTCTTTAAAAGTATCAGTTTTTAACACGTTCCGTGCCACGGGGAGAATTATAAGTTCCACCAGAGCGTTGACACGGAGTTAAAAAGTCACATTTAAATATTTGATTGCAGAGAAATATCGGTATAGCTTGAAATATTGGAACTCTAGTCTTTTTTCGGACATGTTTCGGACAATTGTTTCAATTTTTTTCCGTGTAATGAAAGTTATATTTCTGAAAACTATCGTGTACAGTCGATGGAAGAAATATAGCGATATCGTAAATCCAATTATTTCCATTTAAAATACTTCTGGTATTTTTTCAACGTCTAAATTGAAGACTATGTTATGGCCTTTTAAAAAATTAATTCGTAGATTCGTATATCTTGCTAAACACAAAAATGTTTCACTTTAGCTGATTAAATTGAGTCGCACAAGCAACTTCAGTGAGCTACGGGTACTCATCACTGATTTAAATAATAAGAATATCGGTATAACGTAATATTTCGTTATTATGAAATATACTTTATTATTGAAATGTCCAACATGTTATTAATTCAAACATTAAATTGGCTTACAATCAGTCAATAAGTAATTCTTTTAATACTCTCGTTCATAAGTATTAGGACACTCACTAAACAGTCATTGCTGATATATGGTAATTCAATCCTTTAACCACAGATCACTCGTCTCAGATAGGAGGACATTGTAGACGCTTTTCAGCAGTTTCTTTCTCTTTTAATCCCTTATTCGGATTTTTCTATAAAAGTGTATCGAACATTATGGAAATTATTTGAACTAAAAATGTTCAGGATGACCTAATAATTTCTTTACGAACAGAATAACGGTGGTCCTAATACTTATAAATGGCAGTGTATGTTGAAACTGAAATGAACTTACTATCATTATTCTCGACAAAAATAACCACATTTTACAGTTAGACGATATACGAGGTCGTAAGGGAGAATTATGATCCGCGTCTTGTTGCGGTGGTTATTTCTACCGCTTATTTATACGGATTTGCATTTTCACGGTGTCGCGGTCATTTATGATTCCAGAGAAATAACGCTAGAAGTGTTGAGCCAAGAGCCGGAAGGAGCCTTCATGGTGCGGGAGAGCACCAGTAAACCCGGATGCTATGCCCTTTCGCTTCGAGTGCCGCGCGAATTCCAACCAAGCGGAATAGCCCATTATCTCATAATGCGTACGAACAAAGGCTACAAAATCAAGGTAAATCTTTCCTCAAGTCTTCACCGTGATGTTCCTTTTTATGAAAGTCTTTAACCGTCTACGAAACGTTCGCGCTTAAGTGGGGTATTTAACACCTTCGTCGCGATAACTTGGATTCATTTTCCGCAATTGCTGTTTGTTTATTTATTTATTTATTTAATCGACGTGCTGTGGTTATTGACGACCGTTTCTGCAGTTGTATTGATTAAATGACAAAAATAATTCTCAGTTGAATGAAAATTTGTATTAACCCTTTAACCTATAATAACGTGTCAGACTCGTGGCAGAGATTCTGGTGAAGATGTGAGAAAAGTAGTTATATCGATAAGAAAAATTCATCGTAATCCCAACTTTCGTTTGAATTCCTAAGACTGAGAATTACAAAATACAATTAATCTTTAACAGATTAACTTTTATTACACGATGCAGTACTAAAATAGCAAATGGCTGACGCTTAGATGCACGGTCAGAAAAGAAATCATAGGTTAAGGGGTTAATTTATATTAAGTTATATTGATAACAGAGAAGAGCACATGATCTTGTGGTTTTCCATGTAAATATAAAATGAAACGAAAGAGTCGTACTAAAAGTTCAACAATTTTTAAAGTATCATTGCTTTAATATTCGTTATCCTTGTTAATATTTATGTCTAAACGAAATCCATTGAAATGTTTACCAACTGATCTGGACAGAATAATACAGACAAGGTACAGATTGCAGACTCTTGTAGCTATCGAATACAGTATACATAATAAACATTTCAAAAATGATAAGAATTAGGTTTGATAAGTAATGTGTTCTTATTGTGGGAAGATAATGAAATTGAAAATTATTCAATTTGTGAAAGCGTGCTATATTGTTCATACTACTTTTCATACTTAACATATGAGCCCCTCAATTGAGTAAGTCCAAAATTTCAAAAAATGAGTTTATTATAGAAATAGCAAGTATTAGAAACACTTGTTTTATTTACCAATTTAACTTGCCTATATTTTCATTTCTGTTAACGAAAAATAAGAGTCGATTTTACATCGTGAGTAAAGTGACTTACGCCACTGTTACATTCGATTAAAGAAAACTTGTGCGCCATAATCATTTTATATTTAATATAAACATGAATGAATTTACACACGCATATTTCATTCTCGACAATGAAATTTCTCTCGGTTCCTTTGCATTTTTACAAAAATAAAATATTTCCTTTTCAAAATACACCGTGAAAAATTAGCGAACACCGTCAAAAAAGAATTTCCAACCGAGCAACCGTGAGCTGTTCTTATACGTGTATGTTAATCACCAAAGAGTAATATTACATTCGGACAGTAGCTTTTAGTTCTGGAATATAATGGAGAATACTGTGCAAGCACAAAGCTACTTTGGTTGCATATTTTGCCATTTGAGTATGCGTATTTAAATGGCCGAACTTCCCTTGTAGGATAAATTAAATGGGTCCGAGGACTTTGATAATCTCCGAAACCAGTATAAATGAGTTTTGTTGGATGTACCGCAGGGAAATCAAATCTCTCCCCACTCTTTTCGTCTGGAATTGCATTGCCGTAGCAACACGCTACGAGATTCGAACACGTACGACAGATGATAATTTTGACGTACTGTGTCTATCATCGGTTTGCTTAATGGACAAACAATACGCTATACACAAATTTAAGCTACGTTGCTCGCGTTACAAACTGGACGTATCTCGAATAATTCTGTGTAATATTAGGTCATCCCGTAAGTTCGTGACGAATTTTATAATCTAGATCAATATTTCCAAGGAACCTTTAAATTTGATTAAAAAAAAAAAAAAAAAAAAAAAAAAGTAAGCGCCTTCTCGTTCTACAATTTTTTCTATTTCTTTTTTTTTATTTTGTTGTCAAACAGCTGTTTCAAATTGACTTTGATCGATTTCGAAAGTATATTCTACTTTTTATTTGGACATTTCTCGAACCAGAGCTCTTTGTCTTTCCACTTATTGAATAACCCTCCTGCGACGTACGAATAAACGAAATAACAAGGACCGCTAATGATTACGCTATCTTTTTCTCTGTTCCAGGGCTTTACAAAGGAATTCACAACCCTAACTGCTCTAATTACCCACCACTCGGTAATGCCAGAATTACTGCCGTGCCCGTTGTCATTAAGTCGATACAATCCCAGCTTTGTGAAAAGCGATTCCAACAAAGACTTCGCGGACATCGATTCGGACCCCGATTACAATACATTAGCCGACTTCCGTAAAATGATGGCCGACCTGAACGTTTAGAATAAAGCTTCGCAATCGGTACGATCTGGAAAAAATCGATAGTTTCATCACCCCCCGATGCTCTTCGATACCGAACTAGCTAATGCGAAAATTCGTTCGGGCAAAGACTATGGGAGAAACCGAAGAATAAACGCTCTTTGCGATAGTAATCGTGCACGGAGATGATTGTAATACAATTACAGAACATCGAGGAGTGCGGGGAATCACCGGAGTGTTTTCATCGTGAATCTCTACGCCCCGTTCTAAACGTGTCAATCGGTGTTACGATCGATGAACGAAATGAAAATTTCACGATGGCGCAAGATTGACTAATTTTATTGCAACGATGCATCGCGTGTACATGTATGTATCTCGAGAAATGAAGAAAAAAAAAAAGAAAAGTGTCGTACGTTCGGATAATTACGTTTTACGCGGTGATACGTATTCATAAGTCATCTATAGAGATAAGAAACGTAGGAATTAAGTAATTTAACGGTCGCCACTATTCACAGAAATAACAGCGAATCAAAAGTCGGAGGACGCACAGCAGGGAAACTGATTCCTTATTTTATAGATCGATAGATCGCAGGGTTTGTGTTAAACGGCCGGGAGAAATCGCTGATACGCAATTTGTATGAATTTCATCGTTTAACCAAATTAACAAGCGTGTTACACTCTATTTATATCTTTGAACAATCAGTTTAACGCGAACTCTGCGAACGGGGAATTTTTCGAAGAATGGCTAGTTTGCAACATTTTTCACGGACTAGTTTATTGTAGCATTTCGATCAAATAAAAATTTATCCCAAGAAATGAGATAAGTATATTTTTTAATGTTACTGCGAATGTCTTTTTGTAAATGGTTTCGTTCCGAATGAACGTGTAAAATTTTATCGGTGTTGAATTTAGTTTATAAAAGAAAAAGAGAGAGAAAAAACCGAAGTTTATTTCACAGCGTTGCATTACCCAACAAACGTTCGTTAGGCAACAAAAACAATTGTATCAGCATTCGGAAATTTATCGATCGAACATTGTCGGAAAAGTTGTTTTTGCATCTTCAGATCGATGTAATTTTTGGCCAATATAGTTGAACAGATCGGCAAATGCAATCCATATTTTCTCTTAATTTCACATCGAACTGTAAGAAGAAAGATTTCGAAATCTTCTGGGATTTTACCATGAAAAAATTCACGCGGCTAAATAGTGTTTTACAAAATTAATGTAAATGTGTTTATATGTATATAAATTATAATTATTGTTATACAATACTACTTATATTTAATTAAATGACATTGACAGCAGCGTTAGAGGAGATTTAACACCCTTGAAACAGAAACGACACGAAGAGTAGTTATATATATACTATGAAATTTTGAAACCGACAAACAAAAAAAAAATAAAAAATAAAATAACTTCACAGTGGTAATTTAATTGCTCGACTAACCTAGTCTTGTACAGAATTTACGCGCGCATAGAAAATAATTAAAGAAAGAAAAAAATAAAGGGAACGGAAAGGTACATGATCTTATGTGTGTGTGTAATAACCAATATACATAGACGAGCAAAATCGGGAATTACGTGCCGCTTTTTGTACGCCGAAAAACATAGAATTTTAAGGAAATATTCCAATGAAGCTCCTACTTTTCGATTTTTTCAACAAACACGAGATAACAAGGAGATCAATTAAGATCTACACAACTGCCACCCATTCCACCGAATAATATGTACGCATTCTGTACAAAGGCAGATTGCCGGTAATTCATCCTATAAAGCAACGCAAATAAGACAGATGATAATTAATGGATAATAAAATAGTATTTTAATAAGGAGTTTACTCGCGTTTAAATATCTGGTATTAAATTAAATACAACACCCTCCTTACCATAATAGAACTTACATATAAAATCGATAAATGTGTCTTGTATTTGTTTATTTAAACCGTATCAACCGAAAGCGTAACAGCTGTAATGCGGACATCAAATTATAGGATAAGCAAAAGAAGTATGAAGATTAAAATCGCTTATTGTCACCATTGAGAAAGACACGAAATAAGACTTCAGCTTGATTTAGCTAGTTTACGAACATTCGTTGTACTTTTGACATCGATAGGGAAGGTACAGGATGATCTTCGTATCGCCAAATTAATAAATATCTGCTAAGATAAATGCGCAAACAAAACGAAAGGAAATTAATAAATCGTTGTAAGCTACGCTAAGCGAGACATTAATCACTGCTTGAAGTTTGTAACGTTTTACGAATCATTATAGCAATGCGTTGTATAATTTCAATAAAATTATTTATTACAATAAACAATGAATAAAATAATATAATTTAGTCTACAGTACGTACTTACATTATATCTATAATAACATTACCTATCCTTGACAATATTGAATTATTTTTACGAGAGATTCGATCATTTGTACGAAAGAAATTTCGAATGAAATCATGGACATTTTTATCATTTAAAAATTGTAGAAGCTCGTATTAAAATAAAAGGAACAATAACAAGAGGGTAATTTAATAGTAGTTAGCAATTGACTTTGATATTTTTCCAAAATAAGAATATAAATAAACCTTTATTTTGGTAAACAAATATAAAACATAATAAAATTAGCTTTATACACATATTTCATAAATGTATATTTTCAGAAAATGAATAGATAAATTATAATAAAACGCAAATATATTTTGTTCAAAATACAACAATAGTATTTGTATAACAGTGGCAATGTTAATTTTATTGAAAATATTGTACAATTACATGAATTATAATTTAATGGGATCAAACCTGTCTTGTTTTTATTAAACTAGTCTAAAAATTTGTAATATTATAATGCACAATTGTGTATTATTATGCTTCCTCTCGTACAACGTGTTTTTCTTTTTCCGTAACAAAAGGTACTGCTCCTTTTTTAGAATGAGCACGCATGTTAGCCTCCCTAAACAAATAAGTAAATATAAAATATAAATAAGTAAAAGCACTGAGAAGTAATGTACATAATTTAAATTTCTCAAGCTTCTTTTTTCAAACAATACATACTTTCGTTTACTTTTCTCTTGAATCATACGTAATTCAGCTCTTGCATTATAAATATATTTCGGAACCTGTCTGTGCCGAGCAATTCGTCTTACTTGAGGATGTGCAGCAAACTTTTCTTTCAAAGCATCACTATAACGTAACGCTGCCCTTTCTCTAGGTTTCAACTGTAATGATAATTGTAGAAAATGGTAGAAAAAAAGAAAATATAAAGCATAACTAATATAACTACATACCACACCCAGCTTTTCTGATGCCCTTGCTTTCCAAATGCGAATATTCATTTCGTCACTACCGCTAATAATATATTTATTATCAAGAGACCATCCTATGCACGTTAATCTTTGCATACGTTTCGTATGATAAACTTCTCGAGAATGACGTTTATTTGTCTCAAAAATACGAACAGATTTATCATAGCTACCAGACACAAATTCTTTACCAGTTGGTGAGTAATCCACATCTGTTACAGCTTCTACATGATCCATGTGCACATTTACAGGTATTTTCAATTGGCGAATGTCATAAGTATACAAGCTAAACGGAAAACATTAGAAGGTTATAACTAATTTATCTATTTTATATTATGCTATACAAAAATTTTTTTTAAACATACTTGTAATCTTCATTGGCACATGTGAAAGTTATTGCTTCCATGGGATTCCAAGATAGTTTATTAGACCTTAACTTCATAAGTACTTTTCGCAAAGGACCTGTTTCTCTTGCATCATATAAAATTATACTACGATCACTAGCACAAGCAGCTGTAAAGTATTCATATGTAGCTATAACTTTAAAATATGATAATTATTACTTAGCACAACATGTAACAATACTTACCAAATAAATTCGTTTGAACAGGATTATATTTAATATCATACAAACTATCTACACCCCATTTGAATGTCTGAATTGGTTCATTTCTGGTTTCTTCCCATAAATAGCATACTTCACCACATGTTGCAAATACTGATTGACTTCGATGATGAGAGATTCCAGTTATTATAGTCTATAAAATATTCATAGCTTTTAATCCCATATATAGGTAAAGTAATTCTTTTTTTCTTAAATTAGAAATACTTTACTTTACTAATGATTGTATTTATAGGTTCTTCTTCTTCACCAAGCGATGGCTTTTCTGTTTTCCATATTTTAATAGTTTTATCATCACCAACAGTAATAAAACGTGCAGTATTTACATCAAATGCAGCTCCTCGTACTATGCCATCATGTGCCAGAAAGCTACGTTCACAAGTTTTTTGTATAAGATTCCATAATCTTATTTCCCCATCGAAAGCTCCACTGAGAACTAGAGACAACTGTGAAGGATGTTTAACCAAACAAGACACTCCATCTTTATGTCCTTCCAAAGAACCTATAAACGGTTTTGCAAATACTCTCTCTAATTTTACTGCATTTAAAGCCCTAGTATATTCTCTTGCTGCTTCAAATGGATGTAATACTGGATTATAATTCCTGGGAACTATAAATAATGAATACAATTACGGCTAAATATTATACTCTGTTTATACAACAAAGATTAAATTTATTATTACATATTATTTCGAACATAATTTTCTAAAATAAAAACTAACCTTTATAAATATCACGTTTCGTTTCCCTTAAATATTCATCAGGATTTCTTGTCAGAATTTTCACTTTCATTTTGTAAACTTTAATAAAATATAAGTTCATACATAACACAATTTCATACGTTATAAGTAGATTAACCATGTGCACATTATGTTTTTTAACTTAATCTACCAACATACAAAATAAGAGATATGTAAGTCCCTAGACCTCTTGTATATAACTATTTGACATATTTAATACGGAAATTAATATAAAGAAACAAGAATATTTTCCTATATGCCATAATTAAAAATCTATACATTTCATAATACTTATATATTTCATTTGCTATACAATTTTCAAATTTGTGTATATCTTGCAATTTTTATAGTAACAGTAACTAAAGATTTAATAAAAACGCTGTGTACACGGTGATTTTTAAGTAGCAAGATACTTTTATTTCACCGTTCAAAACGGGGCGTCGTGCAATTATCGTATGCTTTAACTTGATAAACCAGCCCAATATATTAATTTTCCTTTGAACTAACCATTGCATCCGATAAATTAGTCGGAAATTGTTTATAACTTTTATTAGAAATTAGAAAAATTAATGTTCTTTGCGTATGAATTACAGATGGACCATCCAGGACACCCTAGAAATCAAGGAAAGGACTAGAACATCAGGAAAACTGAAGAAATGCGATTATTTGTTAATAAATCGATTATTTATTGTAAAATTATTGTTTAAAATGTATATTACAAAAGGTTACAATATACCAGTATTGTTTTACAGCATTTTACAGTCTATTTATTGCTCCCTTACATTCCAAATCCACTTATTTTTGCGAAAAACCCATTGTTTAAACAATTTTCCGTTGCAAAAGTCTATAAATCAATGGCAGGAACCACCAGGAATGCGTTTTCATCGAAAGCGCGAATATACTCGTTCGGTGCTGAAGTCCTCGAGAATTCCTGGAATTTACGTCATTTCTCGGAAATGACCAAATTTCCAAGAATCGAGGCGATTCCAAGAATTGACCAATGGGCCTTCCAAACTTTCAGTCCTCGTGAATTCCTGGAATTTTCGTCATTTCTCGGAAATGACCAAATTTCCAAGAATCGAGGCGATTCCGAGAATTGACCAATGGGCCTTCGAAACTTTCAGTCCTCGTGAATTCCTGGAATTTTCGTCATTTCTCGGAAATGACCAACTTTCCGAGAATCGAGGCGATTCCAAGAATTGACCAATGGGCCTTCGAAACTTTCAGTTCTCGAGAATTCCTGGAATTTTCGTCATTTCTCGGAAATGACGAAATTTCCAAGAATCGAGTCACTTCCAGGAAGTGACCTCCTATCATATCATGTTCGCCTATTAGAAAGTCGATTTTCAGCCAAAAGGTCTTCGAAACTTTCAGTTCTCGAGAATTCCTGGAATTTTCGTCATTTCTCGGAAATGACGAAATTTCCAAGAATCGAGTCACTTCCAGGAAGTGACCTCCTATCATATCATGTTCGCCTATTAGAAAGTCGATTTTCAGCCAAAAGGTCTTCGAAACTTTCAGTTCTCGAGAATTCCTGGAATTTTCGTCATTTCTCGGAAATGACGAAATTTCTAAGAATCGAAGCGATTCCAAGAATTGATCAATGGGCCTTCGAAACTTTCAGTTCTCGAGAATTCCTGGAAATTTCGTCATTTCTCGGAAATGACGAAATTTCCAAGAACCGAGGCGATTCCAAGAAGCGACCTCCTATCATATCATGTTCGCCTATTAGAAAGTCAGGATTTAGCCAAAAGGTCTTCGAAACTTTCAGTTCTCGAGAATTGAGAATTGACGAAAATTCCAGGAATTCTCGAGAACTGAAAGTTTCGAAGACCTTTTGACTGAAAATCGACTTTCTAATAGGCGAACATGATATGATAGGAGGTCACTTCCTGGAAGTGCCTCGATTCTTGGAAATTTCGTCATTTCCGAGAAATGACGTAAATTCCAGGAATTCTCGAGAACTGAAATTTTCAAAGACCGTTTGGCTGAAAATCGACTTTCTAATAGGCGAACATGATATGATAGGAAGTCACTTCCTGGAAGTGACTCGGTTCTCGGAAATTTCGTCATTTCTCGGAAATGACGAAAATTCCAGGAATTCTCGAGAACTGAAAGTTTCGAAGGCCCACTGGTCAATTCTTGGAATCGCCTCGATTCTCGGAAATTTCGTCATTTCTCGGAAATGACGAAAATTCCAGGAATTCTCGAGAACCGAAAGTTTCGAAGGCCCATTGGTCAATTCTCGGAATCGCCTCGATTCTTGGAAATTTGGTCATTTCCGAGAAATGACGTAAATTCCAGGAATTCTCGAG